TTGGATTTGGATCACTCAAGAGCTTCTATTTCGAGATGGTAGTACCAAGATTACAGGTAATATACCCAACTGATCATTGAATAATTGTTACCAGAACACAGACCTATTTTTCTAAAAACATCTCTGGTGGGATTCAAACTCTAGACCTGCCGCTTGGGGGGTGACAACTTAATTACTACTCTAAGTCGCCACACTCTTATTAGGTTTTATTTTAATCTGCAACAATCATTAATTTACTATAAATGATTATTATTGATTAATTTTTTATTAATAATTATCAATAAAAATTAATCAATAATGATTGTTTATAATAAATTAATAATTAGTAACATTATCAATTAAAATCAATAAGGATATCTGACGCTTATAATCATAACTATCAGTTCTTATTAATTAAATTTAATTGATAATAATTGATTAATTGTTAGTAATTATAACCTATCAGCTTAAAATATTTTCTAATAATGATAGCTATTAATTTTTATCTCAATCAATTCTTATCATGAATAATAATTATTTAATTTTATCTAATCAATTTTTATTACAAATAATAACTATCAATTTTTATTTATATTAATTTTTATCAATATTTATCATATAAATGATAATTATTAATTTTTATCTATATTAATTTTTATCATATATAATTATTATTGATTTCTAATCTATATCAATTTCTTACAATGGTGGTTTTACTAATCAATTAATATTTTTAGATTATAATTGATACTTATCACTCTAAAAAATTTACTGATATATCTCACTTAAAAAAATTAAAAGAAATTGTGTTTGTCTTCAAACAAAACAAGTTTTAAATGCAGATGTGCTAGATAACTTTCATGCTTTTATATATGCATTTCTTGATGCAGTTTGCTTGAATTATGAACTAGATTTTAAAATTAGTGATATGGGCTAATGCCAAATATTTGGGCTGACTTAGCTGACAAAATTACTCAGGCCAGTCGACTAGGCTGATTATAATATTAAAAAATTTTTATTTAAAACCAAAATCACAAAACAGTTATATATAATAATCTCCTATTGGTAATTTCAGTAATTTTACAGTAATTTTACTGAACAAATTGCTATATCTCCAATAATTCCTGACAACCATACTCATGTTTTATGTTTATTGACTTTCTTCTATCTCAAAATCTAACATTATACTATCTTTTCATTTTAGGTAATGCTCACACAAAAAATTATTTATCTTCAGTAATTTTGATTAATCAAAATTTAAGATAACAAATGTGTTTTGTTTTCAAATAAAAAAGTTATGTATAAAATAAAAACCAAGAAAACCAGGTTATAGTTAAGGTTAGGATTAGAACAATATAGCATCTATTAGTAAAACTTCATAAGAAATATTTTTAATTAGGCTACAGAAGGTGGTTTCCTAATTAAAATTTGATTTTTGTATTACAATTAATCCTGAAATTCGATTGGTCAAAATAACAAAATAAACAATTTTTTATAGAAGAGCTAGAGGCATCTTTCTTTTATTTTATTCTGATTTAATAATGGCAAATCTATGATTAATTTTAATTTAATTTGAATAATTTAACCAAAAGTTCTGGCAACATATGGGGGTGAGTCAATAGAAATCAAGCAAATTTTTTATAATAAAGATTTTTAATAACTTTAAACAAGAATAACTTTACAAACACTTAACCAAATTTAATCAATTTTTTTAAATAATTTTTACTAACTTGTATAATTAATTTAAAAAAAAAATTTATCAAATTTGGTTAAGTTTTTGTGAAGTTATTTTTGTTTAAAATTTTTAAAAAAAGCATCAAAAAATATTTGCTTGGTTTCTATTGACTCAACCCCATATACTTACGTACGTACGTATTTATGTACGTAAGTATATACATACCAGATACATAGTGAACGAAAAAGTCTGGAAATCATGTGTTGAACTGCCACGTTTATTTTCAAAAATAAGATTCGATTAATAATTTACGTTAATGTTTCTCATGCTGATATATCACTATTAATATTATGTCCGGTTTGATGATGAAACTGGTTATTACTGGCTTAGCCATAAATATATGATCAACATAAATACGTACTGAGATTATTAGAAAATTCCCGTTACTTCTTTTTTTTTTTATAAAAAAATTTTATTCCTTTTTTTTTTTCGCGTAAGCAAGTAACATTATGAGTTGTCGACAGCCTTATAGGTCTTGGAACGCTGCTGCACTTGGCTTACCTCAGAAAGTCGAGGTTGCAATTTATATTATATTTCGCCCATTTATATTCTTTGAATGTTCTCTAAAACTTTGAATTCTTTAAAAAAAAAAAATTTTTTTTTTTTAGCATTGTCAGCAGGAAACTTCTGGTTCTACTAATGCTTATGCGAGTAACTTTGGAAAATGTAAAACACGTAGAAATACATGGCATGAATCTGGCCAGCAAAAATATAGTAAGTTATTTGTCAAATTTATTATGCCCAACGATTTATTATAAACATGGCTGTGCAACAACTAAATTATTTTTAGACAATGAATGTGAAGGCGCCCAAATTTCTAAGGAGTCTTCTCGCGAATATTCCAAGTCTTCTGATAAGTCCGACTGGAGATCTAACCAGCCTTCTTGGAGAGCTGCTTCATTTTCTTCACATGATCGTCCTAAACAGATGAGATCTATTTCTTCTGGTGATACGCGTAATAATTTTGACAACTCGAGCGAAAAACCTTGGCGACCGTGCACTTTAAAAGAAATTAATGATGATGGACGTGTAAGACTATCCTTCTTTAAAAAGTTTGATTTTTTTTTGGTATTCTGTTGATTTTATTTATTCGTTTTTATTTTTTATTCATCAGGGTTACGCGCCACATTCCGAGGAGGGGAAGGTAAAGTCCATTTCACACCTATCCTCTTTTGTATACGACTAATTTGTTATTAATTTTTGTTTATTTTTATCAGAATTATGAGACTTCTTCACAGTACTTTACTAATCATGAAGAAAAGACTGTAGGATATTACCTTAATTTTATTTTTTCGTTTATTTTTTGCATTTCGTTTATTGATATTTTAATATATATATATATATATTCTTTTGTTTAGAATTATTCATCTTGGAAATCCTCATCTCAAGAAAATCTTATGGTACTTTGTTCAGCATCTATATACTATTAATTGATATACTAACTTTTACTTTATTTTATTTAGAATGTTGATGATGATAATGATGCATTCATATATTCCGGTGAAAAAACTGTAATATATTATCTTTTATAATTTGATTTATTTCAATTCACTTGTTAAACTAATTTCAATCCTATTATCAATAGGAAGAGAAATGTGATAGCGCTACTAATCCGAATAAATCTGACTTGCCAAGAGTGGTAAATTAATATTTTATATATTCGTGTAATTTAAAAATTATAAATTTAAAAACTATATATATATATATATATATATATATTTCTTTTTTTACCTTAGATTACCGTAAAAATTTCACAATTATCATTGACCGATAGGTTGGTTTAATTGATTTTATCACTTTAATAAGCTTATTATTTTATACCTTTCTAACATACGATAATCTACGTTATGTAAGTGATCATTCCGATGAGACTATCACTCCGAAAACCCCTGAACAGGTGCTAACCAATCCGACTGATGATTCTCCTCTACTCATCAATTTGGATGAACCTCAACCTG